CAGACTGTTCTGTTAATGCCTTATCTTAGATTGAACCAGTGAAAAGTTCTGAGACAAATGTTAGAGAGCCATTTGGATCACACCCAACAAGACATTTCAAGGTAGTACTTGATTTATAGTCACTGTACAGCTGACTCTGAAGTCCAAGAGCACATGGAGTTTGAGTTCTTAACTCCAGTACCATCAATAATAATAACAGAATTTGGAAAGTCTCTTTGAATCCTCTTGGCATGTTTGAAATGATGGTATCTCTGTGTGGCCATAATGATAACTGTCCTAGTTTCAAGTACATGTGTTCTACCCAGGCATTAAATACTGCACCACTCGACTGTAATGTCAAATGAAATCTCACAGCTATATCTTTGAGACCAAAATTGTGCCATAAACGACAAAGTGTCAAAACAAACAGTTCTCAGCTGATAAAGTACGAATATCACAACGTCCCTTTCATAGGTCATGGAAAAGCTCCCATCTCCTGGTACTAAAACTGTAAGAGTGCCAAAAACGGATGTATGTTATGCCAGTGTAATATCTAAAAAGGTTTTTAATTTTCCAGCTTTCCCTTTGACTGTCTCTACCCCAAATTTCTGTCCTTTGCTAACTTCTCCTTTAAGTTTCTTTATTTCCTCATCCTTAAGGGTGGTTGATTTCTGCAAAGCATCAATCATCACTTGCTGCTGTTCAACCTGGGCTCGAAAGTTGACTATTGTTGCGGTCAGATTCAGGAAATCAAGTGGAGATATCCCTGCAACACAAAAAGTTGTCACATACATGATACCAACCAACACAAATCTCAATGTTTTACTTAAAAACACACTCATTTACACACTCATAAACTTTACAACACAAATCGTTTTGATATGATGTTTTACTCTCTCAGACAAGAAATATCAAACCTGTAACAACACTGGCTCACACTCAATGCAAAGTGGAATCATTCCCAAAGACATCACCTATCAAACTACCAACTGAGTTTCAGGTACTCAACGATGGATATGCTGTGGCTGATCCTGAACAATTAGAGAGAGACACCAGGGGTCAGTCCTACAGTCTCCTCTGGAGGTCATCCAGATCAACGAGACTAACTGCTTCAAATTTTGGAAAGATTATCAACAGAAAAAAAGGCCAACTACTGCCTTCTTGGACACCTTATTTCCTAAGGAGAAACAAACAATATATGCCAAGCCTCTAGAGTATGGCAAAAAACATGAAAATTCTGCTAAGTCCAAATATTTGGAAACATTTCACTCTGCCCATATGCATGATTGTGGCCTGATTGTAAACCCTGAATTCAGCTTTCTAGGAGCTACTCCTGATGCAAAACTATGCTGTACTGTTGGGACTGGCATTGTAGAGGTAAAATGTCCATACACTGAAAGGAACTCAACCATTGAGGAGGCATGTACAAATGATCAATTCTTTCTGCAGAAAGATCAAAGTGGATCTATACATTTACTTAGGAATCATATGCATTATGTGCAGATTCAAGGTCAGCTTCTCATTTCAGGTGCTGATTTTTGTGAATTTATAGTGTACACTCAGAAAGATTTACATGTGGAAAGAGTGTATCCTGACTTGCCATTCGTGGCAAACATGCTACAAAAACTCTGTCAGTTTTTAAGGACTTTTACAAAACCTCACCTAGCTCATGCTATGTAATATGTTATCATTTCATGATATATGCTCACAGTTGCACAGGATACTTACATGTTTGCTCTGTTTGGGTACTGGAACTTTGGCTGGAAGGCAGATTATCATTTCCTCTGTTATCTGTGTCAATCAGTACACTGAAAGTTGTAAAATGTATTCCATATAAGGCCTTGTGAAACATTTGCAGATTGTATTATGTAACATATGCTATATTTTGGATTACATACTATGTTTTGCTTTCAGAGAACAACTGTCTTGTCTACAGATATGGTATATAGGACAATATGCAATGTTGCAATACAACATGTATTCATATAATGATGTAATGATGGGCCAGACATATTTGCATCCAATATTTTGCAAAAGTGTAGCGTGAGGCATTCCATTTTGTCATGCCACTGTTCAAGGCACCTGGGTATATTCAGTGCTGACAGATGTGGGATTACTTGAAGGGTTAATGTGAGGTCAGACTGTGCATATTGTCCATTTCATTAAGTAAATAGAAAGGACACAAAAATTAATGTAATGTAACCAACAAATGGTCATGGTTACAAATAATTCTGAAAAACAAAACAAATCATGATGTGACAATCATGTCATTAATGGTATTGATTGGTTGATTGAAAGCAAGCATATTACCACCAGGTACTGTGAACGTCACCTGCAAAGAAAACAGAGAAACCACAAAGCATCGCATTCTCTAGACTAACGCTTAGTACCAATATATATATATAATTTGATAGTAACAAACAAACCCATTTAAATTGAAAAGGAGTCCCAGGGAGACCAGAGATTCAGAACCTAAGAACCTGAACCTAAGGAAATCTAGACTTGCTCCAATTAGGGCTTTAGCACTGCAGAGAAGGCTAGGTAGTAGGGAAAATAATATAGTTCAGGGACTGTGAGACAGACTATGATTTCTCATACAAATCCATGTAGTATGGGGTGAACTATGTGTTAACATTCCTAAGTTTGTTTATAATTCTCTACAGGTTCACATTGTAGTTTGAAATGTATGTTGAATATGTGTATATATTTGTCACATGTACCAAATCTTTTCTAAAACAAAATCATATTTGTTATGTAGAGGTGCATCGATCAATGTCTGTGATATTTCTTTTGAGTGTGGACATGGAGGGTAGATCTGCATGAATTTGTTCCTAAAATTGAAAATACTTTGTTATTTGTTTTGCATTATCATCTATTTTGTTAGTACTGCATTGGTCAGTGTCTGTGATATTTCTTTAGACTGTGTTATGACAATATCCTCAGGTGTTTCCAATGAAAATGTGTGCTGAAGACATCCATCGATAGTGTGTGATAATTGTAAAAACATTAAAATATATCCACATAATAAACATGGAGGATATATTTGCATGGATGTGTTCCTAAAATTGAAAATACTTTGTTATTTATTTTGCATTATCATCTATTTTGTTAGTACTATTGGTCATGTCTGTGATATATGTGAGTGTGTTATGGCAATGTCATCAGGTTTGTCAACTGACAGTATGTGCTGCAGACATTTATTGTTAAACAGCATCATAAAAAATTAAAATAAACTTGGATGATGAAGTCGAATGAACAATTAAAAGACTTTGTGCTATGTATTTCTGCGTTGGAACAATGTTGTCCATAGGTGTAACACATTAAACATGTTATGTGTGGCACATTAAATATAAATTTGCTCACCTGACACTAGGCTCAATCGATTGAATGCCACTGCCCAGGCACCGTCGCTTCGGGGGAGGTCTCACTGGTTTGATGGCGCTTCCATCGGCACTGATTGGGTCTGTAAACTCTTTCGTGGGGATATCCATTCACAAAATGCTAACAAATATTTTAAAAAATAGATACACTAAACAACAGAATTATCACCTATACGATTACATTGCCTTGGTAGGAACACGACGTTTAGCTTGCTGAACTACTTAGTACTTTGGTGGTTGTAGCGAATTAAGAATTGTCAACCAGTATCGTTATATAGCCAAAGAAAACGCTGCCGTGCGACAATATATTGCGTCCGTAAACATATAATCCGAAGATATATCAATATGAATACGGTCATATGCTAGAAAGACCAGTTTATACCTACACTACACTCAGTCATACCTTGGAGCAGACGAACTTGTGTTTGTTTATGTTGCCGACATTCAGTTGTCCGTGGGGTCGGCCACACGCTCTAATCCACCGCGAGCACTTCTCAAACTTGGTTTTCGGCTTTGGGAAATGGCGGAAATGGACATTAATGACTCTATCTGGGTACCTTTCGTCCGAATTGCATGTACCCCAAGCGCAGCGCTTCACCATTTCCAAAAACTCGCTGACAGTTATGTCCTTAGATACACAAAAGCTTGGGGTGCAATAGGTACCAAATGGCGCCTTAGCGACAAGCTGTGCAGCAGTAAAGGCGCGGAGCGTGCTGATTGGTTAATTGATTCAGCATCGGAACTATGCATAGTGGAACGTTCTGAAAGCGCTTAGTGACCCAACGTTGTCACCCAACGTTTGGCAGGTAAGTCCAACTTCGAAACCGCTGTACGCACCGTAAATACCGCTTACTGCGCCAAGTAAAAGAATCCATTTTAAATGGGTAATGCAGTGATAGTAATGCATCAGTGTCAGTGTCTAGGTAGTATTATCAGTATTCAGCAACAGCCCAGCTAACATGACACTACTGGGCCCGTACTGGTATTATAAAAGACCACAATATAGGCTTGATAACGTATCTCAGTACCGGACCTGTAACGTTTTGCACATTGGCGTGGAAATGGCCCAGTACAAATAGCAACACACTGGCGTTGTACTGGCAGTGTACTGGTCTTGTACTGGCCCCGTATATGTGATTTTGTGTACTGGTACCATAGCACTTTTACATTCTGGACCCTTTTGTATGAAACCACACTAGACCTGTGTCAGCCTTGACCAAGGAGACTAAATCTACATTGCTCCAGTCCATGGCCACCCAGCTGTTAAGTGGGCACTGTGAAGGAGGCGACGCGCCTCCCCCAGAGGATGCACTCAAAATTTCATGTATCATGATGTAAATAGACAGTGCAAATGTACACGAACTATGTCCATTGTTCCCCCAAAGGAATCTCGGTTACATGTAAAATTTTATAACAGCAAACTGTTAACTGGCACGAGTTCAACAACTGATACAGTGCTAGGATTCATCTATAAAACATGTCACTAATGTGACTAATTGGAAGCAAAACCCTCTGTATTCAATTTGCTAAGCATGCTAAAAGGAAAACAAAAGGGATAAAGAAAACATCTTTTATATGATCTCATATACAGCATATTGCAGTTACTCAGACATGTTATCGCGAGTGGTGACCGCAGCCTCCTTAGTCAGTAGCCTTTTCTTTCGGCCCCGTCCCTGTCCCCGAATTTCTCAGCCAAAGCATCATCTCACTGTGAGCCTCCTTTTCTGTTGCTGTTGTAAGCAGGGGATTTTTGAGAACAGCTCCTAAAACATAGTTGAATATGATATTAATTTTCATTAACATCAAACCTGAAAAATAAAGTTCCAATTATTCTGCACACCTGTCAAACTTAATATGCAATGCCTTATTCTTTTAATAAAGCTTTAACATTATAAGAATGGTTGCCCTGGAAACTTGGTCTTACTGCAGTTTCCAAGTCACTGTAGCTCATCTAGATCAAAACGAAACATCAGGGCCGTACCAATCCTACATACCAAATTTCTGCTTAATCACTGCAGAAATAAATGATCAATGAGTAAAACTGGCATTTTCAATATGGTGACCATATTTGAAATCTGATTGGAATGACCACCATTAATGTCACATATGGTTCAATATATTGACTAGGCACTCCAGCTGAAGTGCTAACTTTCATTGACATATTCCTTTAATTCTCCAAAATATGGCTGGAATATTGCCGATGTGACTATAAATTTCAACTCACTTCGATTCTCAAATCTACATAATCCGGAACTATATATGAGAGCTATTTTACTCACTAGTGATTGCAGCACATAGCTGAAAATTAGCAAATGCTTTCTTGCTTGGTCCATTGTTCTTCCAACATTTTTGTCCCAGCCAGTTATATTGAGAAGTAATAGTATGTCCAAGGACATACTTCATGGTTCTTTGGACGGTTTCCTTTACGGTGCTTCCGCCAATAAGCTTTAGGCGATCAACCTGTGAAAATATCAAATGTTTCGGTCACTAAGTAAAGTTGCTGGGTATTAGGAGGGTAACATTTTGAAAAAGGTCATCAAGACAATTATTTGCAAAACAGGACAACAACATTTTAGAATAAGGTGAAAAGTCTAAATAACTTATACAAAATGGGATCAAAATGAACCCATGATAACAGTAACGTGTATTTTGAAATGATTTTAAGCAGGCATGATTAATACTTGTGAAATTGCACTGAGAACAATTTGAGCATGTCAGTCTGCTTACAAACAAAGGTACAACTGGACTATATAATCTAGTAGTATACGCTTGAGAAGTAGTATTGCTAGTAGACCTTAATCTACTACTCCTAAACTTATCACAATTATAAAATGCCAGATGATTTAATGTATCTTAGTACAGAATATTTAAATTCATACACCACATGTGCACCAGTGTCAGCAATTTGCCCTAAAAAGAATCTTTAGCCTTACCAAAGACATTCTAAATGCCTTTTCCTTCAGTCTGCCTTCAAGAGCTTCAAGGGCAGCCTCATCAGTTAGTGGAAACTGTACATCTTCCTGGAGGTCCACTGGTGTTCCACTGTTGGACACCTTCAGCAAGATTTCATTGAGGAGTTTCCGTTGAGAAGCAAGCTCTTTTCCAATCTCCACAGCAACTTGCACTGATGAAATGGCTTTTAATGATTGCCCTATCCTTAGCTGAAATATTCAAGTTGGAGCCCTTTTATGACAAGCGACAGGACCGCATATTGAAGAATTCTACTAGACACATGAAAGAGTGAGTGAGTTTACTTTTACGCTGCACTCAGCAATAGTCCAGCTATATGGCGGCGGTCTGACATGAAAGGGATAGTAATATTATTGTAGTTGTTGAGGAGAAAGTAATGAAAAACATAATTACCATTCACTCGTGCTGAATCAGGAGATATAAGTCCTGGTATCAGAGACCCTTCATTAGTACCTGGCATTGCTGTAAGCAGAAACTTCAAATTACACATATAATTTAATTCATGATTCCGCCTGTATTAGATTTGTAAAATCTCACAAACATATTTTAAAAGTGAATCAAGATCGCCAAACTTTATCTTGCACATAAAAGCTATGACATGTGATATATGGCTGTGATGTACTTACACTGTCTGATGTGAGTAGCAGTGGTACTTGACTCTGGGATCCTTGGGAAATCTGATGATGGCATATGGACACTGAACAAAGACCGGGCAGAAGTTGAAGGTCTTGGTGGTGATGCATGTGCTGATGATGTACTGATGCTAATGTTGTCCGGGTAGAGGGAAATACCTGTAACCACCTCAGAAACTGCCGAGGTAGAAGGCATTGAAATCTCTGGTGGCTGTGGAGCTGGTGGTAGAACAGCAGGTCGCACTTTTTTTTTGGTCTGGGTGGTTCATAGTCGTCATCCTCATCCTCACTGGAGGAAACTTGCTTTGGCTTTCGTCTGACGGCCAAACAGAACATAATATTACATGCATACCAAAACAAGATCATACCAAAATAGCACATCCCCAAGCAGATTATTGCTGTAACTCTTGCAATAATAACCTGAGTGGAATAATAGTATGAAATGCTTTATCACCAGTGTGTATCAAACATTACTACAAAATCTCTTTGAAAATTAACAAATATTGTAACCCTATTCGTGATAGACTGCCATTCAGCAAACTGACTGGTGGGGAAAAAGTTCATCTTAGCATAATTGCAAAAAGCACTTACTTTCTCGCTCCTTTACCACAGGAGTCCTCCTCTTCTGTTTGAATGTCTGAAGTGTCTTCAGCAACTTTTAATTTTCTTCTACCGTCTTCATAGCTATCTGCAGATATATAACATCATCCTAGAACAGTCTTTGTGCTGTAGAAACAGGTAAAATAAAATTTATATTCTATGAATTCAAGTGTTCACAAAACTATGATATTTTAATTCAGTAACATCAGCTTCAGAAAACGACAAGAGAATTTAAGGGAAATCAAAATTTACTTACGACAAGCAGCCAACACCCTGATCCTGTATACCGGCCATGTTTTTTCTGCTTCAATTCGCTCCTTTACTGCCTTAACAGCTGCAGTAGAGCGAAGTGGAGGCCAGTAGGTTTTGGTTTGATTCAGCAGCCAATTGGAAGCAACTAACTCTACCTCGTTGCTTTCTTCAAAGACGACGACCACATACATTTTGGCTATAAGAGCAAACTTTCATTTATAAAACAATCTGGATAGATTTCAAAAAGACAAAGTCTCAAATCAAAAGATTTTGACATAAATTCTAAATGCAAGCAAAGACACTTACTAAACAGCTGCAGTAGCAGTTATTCAATCCCATCGGCTATGCTGAGATGTGTGCAATCATCCCACGTCCCAGCTTTACTGACTTAACTGTGAATGGATGTTCTATGTTTGGTACATCAGCAAAGGTTGTGGAATTTCTTATTTTTGAAAGTTAATGCACATGTTTTGTTTACTTTTATGCACGTGTATGGATCATTGGGATTGCAACGAAGTTCCCCTGGTAAGGCATCAGAACATATTTCCCTTTGACACTCTGTATTCTAGAAACTAGGAGCTGATCATTCACATCAGATACTGTGTGAATATCAAGGCGCCTGGAGTCTATGGGATACTGAAAGAATGCTCCTGACGACAACAACGTTTGGTAAACAACGTAGATATCCTCGTCACATTTCAGGATATTTCTCACATAGCAAATGTCCTTGCCTATTTTTTACACAGTTGTTACCTCGTTTGATGTGACAACAAACTCTTTCAGTTTGACCTCTCTATACTGGACACACCCTAAGAAATTGTTACCTGCGGGAAGTGGACCATCACAGTGTTTTAATTTTGCCTGAAATGGTGCAAAACTGTCACACTTCTCTGATGAAGACAACAAAGACTTTTCTCTCAACCTGAGCACCACTTGCTCAAGGACAAAATTGGGTTTTCTAACCAACTTTTTCAGGTATTGGAGAAAATTTTCAAATGGAAATGCAGAAAATGCATCAAGTGGGCCATGACGTCTTACATCCTCAGCGAGATGCACTAAGCCATGGACGTTGTAAACTACCTGATCTGTACCATAAAGCTGACAGAAATGGTGAACAAAAGAGACAAGAAGTTCTTGTGCGTAATCTGCGTACACATTGCAAAATATAGGATTCACAAGAATACCGATTGCAGTTGACAGAAGCATGAAGTTTTTGTACATCTCATTTTGTATCTTGCCCCTCAATACTAAAGGTCCGGTATAAAGCAAGAAAAGCCGAAACTCGGTTGCTTTCCATCTATCAACTTCAGAAAGCGCCCTTGGTTTTCGTGCAAACTCATGTGGCATGTAACAAGTAAGGGACATCAAGGCCTCTGATATTAAGGTTTTCGTTTGGGAGCCTAGACGACAGTGAAGGGGTCCTTTTCTCCAAATCCAAAGCAAGCGTTTCATGACACCAAGACATACCATATGCATGTAGTCAAGTGTGAATTGCGTCACCATGCCAATAGACAACTGCCTCATAGGATTTGGGCCTGTATGATGATCTTCATCTACCATCTCATGAAAGGCTACATCTGTTCTTAAGGGTGCATCAGTTTCTAAGAACACCATTTTCCCTTGATAGGTACCACTCTGTGTACACTTTTCACATCCTGAATAACCAGAATGAGATTTAACCCTTTTAATGAAAGCTCGAGCCGGTGCATCACAAACAAATGATGCTATGTTCACTTTATATATCTTTCCATTGTACACCAAACCATCAGATTGCAACCCCACCATTTCACTGACAAAGTCACTCAGAAATGTTTCAGGGTTAGATGGCTTATGATTTCCTGAAAACAAGCCAATGATGAATGGATCCGATTGACCCTTGTCTTGAATCAGGCCTAAAATTGGCCAAAACTGATCATTTGTACTCTTAAACAAGGGAAGACCATCAACATTTATTTGTATTAGAATGGTATCTAACCTTTGTAAGTGAGTATCCGATGACAACTTCAAAAGAATGTTGGATTTCACACCAAAATGATAGTAGGCCCCACCTGCAATATTCTTAATACCATCTACCTTTCCTGTTTGTAACAAGGTTCTGGGGTCTTTTGGAAGCAATGGGTGAAATTGCTTTAAGCGCGGACAGTAAATGTCCGAGAGCAGTATGAGAAATGTTGTATTTCACTGCCCAGTGTGAAAGAATTTCAAACAACTGCCCATCAACATCATCATCACAATCAAGCTCATCTTCACAACCGCCTTCACAATCAGTATCATCATCACTACCATTTACATGTTGATCATTTCCAGACTGGTAGGTGAAAGAAAATCCAGCACCATCTGTGTTTGTAACACTACTACTACAATTTAAATCTGTGTAGTTAGTTGAACAGTCATGCTCATGTTCATGTTCATCATAGTCTGTACATGTACCAGGTGGAGAATATGTTCTTTGTTGTATATAAGGTGAAATATGTTCCCTTGTGTCTGTTTCTGTCTGTAAAAAACCCTTGTTGAATAATCCGTATGTTTTCTCTTAGCTTAGATTCTATTTTCCTTCGTTTTGTCCAGTACGACATTACTGTAGTTAGATTGTGGTAATGGAACTGCACGGAGATTTTGAATGTGAAGGAAAACAGTTTTGTTTGGAGCAAAACTGAATGGACCCAAAGTGGTAATAGACCTTTTCTAGTACACCTTTATATTAGGCTTAAAGTTACATATGATTTATATGTTGTTTTCAAAGAATACCTACATATTTGGCCAAATGTTTTCCTGACACCTCAACCCCTCACCTCCAGCAGACGACAAAATGGCGGGCACATTTTTAACCCACAATGCAATTCAATTTACCCACAATGCACCATTTACGTTCTGGCCCTGTAGTGGCCCTGTAATGGCCCCGTACCGTATTTCATTACTGTGCCAGTACCGGACCAATAACTTTGTCCTATACTGTATGCAGCATACTGGCCCAGTAACGTAAGACAATGCCTTTAAACAATGTGATGTTGCGACTGGGCCAGTATTAAAACGATACAGTTAAGACAGTACTGTAAAATACATAATGGGCCATTTAGGTTAATACTTAATGCCGTTACTGAAGTTACAAGTGACGAAGGGAGCCGTTATTGGCCCAGTTATGTCATGTTTGCTGGGTTATTGTGGTCTATATATGAAAATACATGACATAATTTGAAAGTTTATAACTTTGAGTATATTTCAAGTTAAATGTTAAGGACGTGTGTAATTACAAATGCACTGTTAATTTCAGAACGCAGATATTCATCTATCAACTATTTTTTGCTGTAAGCAAGTGTGTGATGGGAATACGGTTAGAAGATTACTACACAAAAATTGTTTGAGTCCTCTTTGCCTTACACACCAATTACAGTTATCCTCAAACATGTTTAAGAAAACTATAATTTCACATAAAATAAATTTGTGGTACATGTAATATATGGCACTTTTGATATTCAAATGAATCAGCTACTTAACCTCACCAGGTAATATACAACTTGTAATAATCATATTTTATGCAACTAATTTTCTCTTGTCTCAACTAAAAATACTACTCAACAAAATAGATTTATGATAAGGAAAATTAAATTTCATCTTCAATTTATTATATCTGTGAATTAAACATTCATACCTTTTCATCCAGCTCATTGAGCATAACAGCAAGACCACCGCCAGTCTAAGCTAGCCTCCTTTTCATGAGCTGTGCTCTTTTTTTTACCTGGCATCTGAAATCAAATATTTCATATAGTCTTTTTGGCCACT